CCCATCAGCTTCTTTTTTTTATTTGCCAATCATATGGCAGAAAAGCAATGCATTCCCATCTTACTTTTATCTTCCTAGTTATTACTTTGAGCATGTTTCTGTTTGCTTATTATGTATTTATTTGTCTTCTTTGGTTAATTTTTCATTTCCGGTGCTCACCTTCTTTTATTGTTTCTTATGAAAGCAAACATCAAATGTATTTGGAAAAATTCTTGGGAAAAATGAATAATAAGTTAGGAAGAGACAAACATTCTTCTTGTCTAATTGCAAAAAATGTCAAGAACCTCAGCCTCAGGATTCCAATCTCTCTCTCTCTCTCTCTCTCTCTCTCTCTCTCTCTCTCTCTCTCTCTCTCTCTCTCTCTCTCTCTCTCTCTGTGCTTTGTTTTTAGTCACAAGGGCCAAAAGTAGAACGAGTTGACCTTTCTGTGTTTTGAAGCACTGTGATCTTAATGTGTTAAAAAGTTGTGAGTGAGACAAAGCCTGTTTCAGAAGGACTACATCCAAGGGGGAGTAAGTTATAGCTGGAGGCAAAGAGAGAAAGCTTTCAATGAAAACTCTGGGAACAGAACCCACAGCCATGTCACTTTTCAGCAGTGGCTGGGTGACCTCTGAGTTCTCATTTTCCCTTCACTTGTAATTCGTACTCTCCCTTGGTTTCTCATTAACAAACACATTCCCAAAGAAGATCATGACGTTAGCTGTTCTCCAGTCAGCCCAGCCCATCGGCTTGACTCTGCCAATGGTCTTGGTTTCAATGATGAAATCACTTCCTCCCAGTAACACAGACGGAGAACACAAGAGAACTTGAAAAGACTAAATAAGTACACTTCATTCTGATGTTTGATGAAGCACAGAGATCCTACAAACACAGGGGCTTCCTCTTAGTTCTCCTCCTCTCTATTCCAATACCCTTTCCCTTGCCTGCATATAAGGTATCAAAACACATGTGGTATGTTGCCTGCTCTAAGAATGTCGTCCCTGACTGCTCCACATTCACACATAAGTGATGATTTTTTTTCAAGATTACTCATATATCTTTCCACCATCCTCGTAGATAGTAACTCTCTTATTTTTATCTTTATGGCTCTAGCATCTGTCTTAGTACCTGTTACACAGGAAGTCCTCAATAAAGTTTAATAGAATTCAATTGTTGCAAATAAATTTGAGCAAGCAGCACAACCTCCCATTTTCTCTTCACTCAGGATGCTCTAGGCACTAAGCAGACTAAAGTAGCCATTAATTCCCTAGTATGTCTGCAGCTTCAATAGCTATGGTGTATCAAGACACAAGCATGCTCTTGCTCTTACCTACCAACCGTTTGCTAGTCTAATGCATCCTTCCAAGATCATGCCAAATACCAATCCTCAGAGGCAGAAGTCCCTGATCACCGTCTTAGATCTCCCTCCAGATGCCCTTGACCTTAATAGTACAACTGCTGTCTGGCACTATCAGTGTCATCATAGCCTCTGACACACTGATGAGTCTTTCTTATAGACTGCTGCTTTGATGCCGTTAGTTATAAGTTTTCCAATGTGGATTCAATGAAATCTCATAAATTTAAAAATAAATGACCATTGTTTTCGGTCATCCACTATGATTTTAAGGTACTCAACAGTAGATGATATTGCAACCACCAAGTCACCTAATTCATCTCCTGGGCCTACTATCTTCTAAGTGATCAGAATTGGAAGAAATATTAGGTCTCAATCTACCCAGTTATCTATACCAAAATACTTTTGCTAGCATTCTTTGACATGCCCAACAGAATGCTACTCCATCTCATTTGTCGTCCTCTCCAGGAGACTATCCATGACCAACCACCAAGACTAAGGTTACACCAACCCATATGTTCTTCATGTGTGTTACTTTATAGTTCTTAACCTATTTAATGTATAGGCTCAGTGTCCATTTGCTTTAGTATCTTCCTATCCAAATCCACAACTCCAAAAGGGAACAAAACATGATCCTTTTATCCCAATGAAGGAGCTATTTATGTTTCACCCTTTCTGTTTACATATTTTGTAAATATTTTCTCCAAATTGGCAGGTCATCTTTTAACTATAAGTGTTCTAAGGTCAATCTGCTAACTTTTCCATGATGACTTTGGAGTTCTTGGTGTGTGTGTGTGTGTGTGTGTGTGTGTGTGTGTGTGTGTGTGTGTGTGTGTGTGTGTGCTCATTGCTTCCTTGGACTATGCCCCTAGAATGAGGGGGAATGTGAACAGGGTTCTCTTTTAGGAATATGATCCATTTTGTCAATTTGACCCCCCCAAACCTTTGGCCAAACTGTGACTTACATTCTCAAACTTTGCTAACACACTGTACTATCAGATTTTTGACAGACAGAGGATGGAGAACAATTTAACATAGGTGAAAGTACATTTGAAAATATAAAGAATCCTGTGCGTCAGCTGGGAGGTTGTATCCAGCAGGTTCCACAAAGGGCAGCATGGTTTACCCCTTCCCAGAACTAAGGCAGATGGTAATTTCTCATGCTTTGCATTTACTCAAACGAACACATGAATTGGTTCACACCCATGATTCCCAAATAATTTTTACTGTTTCACCTTTGTCTCAGCTGAATTCCCTCCAAAATTTGTAGTCAATCTGAACACAGAGATCCCAGGCCACTCTTTAATCATGGTACCAAATGGCGCATTTGCCAAGTAGGTAAAAACCTGACCTGACCATTCCGGTTCAGCTACCACCAGTGTTGCCAATAATAACAACAGTTACCATTGCACAGAAATGACACAGAGGAATGCAGTGTGCTGAGAGCAACCTGGTAAATGTTGTTGGATGGGATGGCAGGGCAACAAAATTTTGGTGACCTCGGTTCACACTTAGCCTTTAGTCATCTCTGTGAGCATCATGTGACTCCACCTGATGATCCTTAATCGCCTCATAACATCCCAGGGAAAGTAAGGCTGGGAACACAATGAGTTTGAGAAAAGGGACTTTCCTTCTAAATGAGACCTACAGATCATACACAGTTTCCTTCCCTCTCCAGATTAAAATGTTGTCCTTTGTAGTATGAAATTGTGCCTATGTCTCGTCTCATATGAAAATACAAATGTGACCTTGTACTTTCATTTCTTGGATGTAGTTCAGAATAGAAAGGAAACTTTTACCTTACCATTATCTGCTTCAACAATCTTGTTTCAGTTTGGACCTCCTAGACACATCTTTGCTCTCCAGAGCTTTAGATTACAAAGGATCTTAATCTTAGCACAACATGAGCATTCTGGTAGTATCTATGTGCAAACTCAGTGATGCCTAGAACCCTTTTAGCATAAGTGCTGAAGACACAGTGCTTCAAGTTACATTTAGTTTAACCATTTTTCTTCTTCCCCGCCCAAAGTGCGGTTACCTTTGTCTTTTCATTCATCTCCAGATTATTTCTCAGTGTCTTTAAGAACCCATACCATACCCTATTTACCAGAAAACTATGAACATTGAATATCTTCACTGGGTTTTCCCCCATAGTTCTGAGCAAAATGCCTGGGTGAAAAGGCAATCATAAATGCTAGAATTTATAGGTAATGGACAGACAGAGATGGGAGATGGAAGGACAGCCAATGTACTGTCTCTTACATTGTCACACAAGTCGACACAGAGTTTGAGAGGACTAGATCAGATCTCCAGTAATGGTGATGGATTTGACAGGATGCTAGCCATGTGAATGGAGAAGTCAGTTGAGCAGTAGAATACTGGAGTCTGGCTCCACCGGCTGAGTTTGCACTAGAGATAGAAATTGGAAATCAGTCCTGTGATTGGGTGAGATCTCATAGAGAAAAATGCAGAGTAAGCTTGCCCTATGGGTCACCTACGACTTTCATAACGTCTTATTCTGCTTAAATGCAAGGGCTGAAGGCTAACTGGGACCTTTGAAAGCAAATGGCCCTTACCTCCCTATTAGTTTCCATTCCGTTACATTTGCAACCAAGTCATTGCAAGCTTCCCCAAACACTGGCATCATTCTACAACCCATTTAGAGCAGATGGGAGGATGGAAGAGGTTAGGATGAGACTTTTACGGCAGGCTAATATGATTCAACAGCAGCCATTAGCTGAACAAATATTGAGTAGCAACAGCGGGGTAGGATGTATGGAGCCTCTGACAGAACCCTTATCTCTGTCAGGGACAGATGCCAAAGAGTCCAAAAAACTACAACGTGCTACACAGACTGCTAGTGACAAGGACTGCATTTGGAAACAGAGAAGCCAAACAACGAAGAGAAAACTTTTGGAGTAGATTTTGTCGGGGGTATTTGAGAGCCGACTAGAATGCTTTAGTCAAGGAGCAGGTGAACAAAAAAATGTTCTGACAGGAGGAAAACAAAGTCAGTCAAATGGCAGCCAATTCTTTTTTATTTTGTATGTAATTAACAAGTAGAAAGCGTTACAGGAGAGAAACGAACTGCCCCCCCCCACACACACACATAATAAGCCTATTTAGGGCAGTTTTGCTAAGAAGAAAGTGGGGGAAAGTATAGCATGGCCATCCCTTCCGCGGTCCAATGGCAGGGAAGCCCATGCTCTGCTAAGTAGCTGACTGGTTACTGTAAAAGTCCCGCTCTGAGCAAGCACCAATGTACTCTCAGAACCGAGATTCTTGGAAACAGTTTCTGGCAAGGAATGCATGACATTGAGATGGCTCGGGAGTTGTAAACAAGGACGAGTCTGGGCGGGCCTGAAGCCCCTGGAGACCTGGGAGCTGTCCCAAGGCGGCAATCCCCAGCCCACATTGTCCTAGATGCCCGCTGTTAGCTCCCCCTCGTCCCCCTTGGCCTCCCTCTCACCCTTGCCCCTCTCAGGCTTGGGCACCGGAGCCTGCTCGCTCTAGGGTCACCGCGCCAGGTCTTTCTGGTGACCGTGGCCAAGGGGAGGGACCCAAAGTTCTTCCTGTGAGCTGATTGGTGTGGCCCCAAGTTCAGAGTTCCAGTGACTCCTCCCGACTGGAGTTGAGGTGGGGAGGGCGGGGGAGGCAGATAAAAGACGGCGGGAGGTGGGAAGACCAGAGTGTCAACCAGTCAGTCACCCAGCCTGGACACCCGGGACCCTGAGCCCACAGCGCACCTGCTCCCGCCCGACAGCGCTCCTGCCCGCGGTCCCTCTATTCCCCAACGGGTCCCAGCCACCGCCAGCCTAGGTGGGCTTCAGGATGAAGGCGGCCCGCTTCGTGATGCGCAGCGCCAGCTCGCTGAGCAACGCCGGCCTGGTCCCCAGGGAGGTCGAGCTGTTCTCGCGCTACAGCCCGTCCCCGCTGTCCATGAAGCAGCTGCTGGACTTTGGTGAGAGGACACGCGGGGCCCAGGAGGGTGGCGCTGAGGCCGGGGAAGTGTCAGGATAGGAAGGGCTGAACTCAGGGCTAGGACAACTGAGGTCCCCTTGGCTGAGAAGTTCAGGCGTCTCAAAAGGCTGTGCGCCTTGGGATGTCCTAGCTTGGCTACTGTCTGACAGTTTGGACCACCAGTGGAGGTCACCTATAACCCTGTGAATGTTCGGCTTTGGCTTCACTTTGCTCTTCTCGCTGTCTAGATTCTTTGAGTTGAAATAAATCCACATATGTGTGTTTGTTTTCAGCCACCATTTTAATGATGGACTAGAAACTTCCTCCCTTCTTCCCATGGTACAACGTCCTAACAACATAAACTCACATTAGATTGCTAGATTTAACCCTTACCCCCACACATACACACACCTACCCCATAGACCTCTTAGCATGCTTAACAAACATCTTGACTACTTCGCCTTTATTGTTTTACAAGTGTTTACAGTACTACTAAAATAAAAACCGGTTACTCCCTTTCTGCAGCGATGCCATGAGGAGTAGTTCAAGATGTTAATTTGGTAATGTTTATTGCTAGTGTGGGAACCACTCGGCCTCCTGCCCAGTCCCTTTCTAGTCCATACTCATTAGAGAGTGTTGTTGACTTTGTGGTACAGGCTGGCCCTGCTCTGATGGATAGGAACAACTGGAGAGTGGTCTGACTTCTCCAAAGTGAATTCTCCTCAGCTATACTGATCATGCTTAAAAGAAGAAAAGGGGGAGGGTGGGGAGACAAAGAAAATATACTAAAGGTATCTATTCCTAAATTATTTATAAACTCTAACTGCAGTTAAAATACCATTTCCCAGTGTCCTTTATATTCGAAAGTTATTTTCTACCTGCCCCGCCCCCCAATGTGAGCATGTTTTATCCACTGCAGGTTCAGATAATGCCTGCGAAAGAACATCTTTCTCTTTTCTGCGGCAAGAGTTGCCCGTGAGACTAGCCAACATCCTGAAGGAGATTGACATCCTCCCTGAGAGACTGGTGAATACCCCCTCCGTGCAGCTGGTGAAGAGCTGGTAAGGGGCACACTGTTTAAGCATCTTGACTTCAGAAGCTACCTGAGTACCACTTCTTAGGCCATGTTAGCATGGTACTCAGATAGCAGATGGTCTTAACAGAAAATAGTTATGTAAGTTGTAAGTTTGTGCTAACTTAGGGCAAGTTATCGTTGGGATAGATACAAAACTATGAATAGAAAATTTGTCAATATCCTTAAAATTCATAGCCCTTTATTTGGAGGAGGGGGTTGCGCTTTTATTTTTGTTCTATTTTTTCCCCTGTTGTTTGTCTTTAAGACAGGATCTCCTGTACCACAGGCTTCCTGGAACTCTTTATATAGCTTAGGATGACCTTGAAGTCCTCTCTGCTTGCCTTCACCCTCCAGCTGCTGGGCTTATGAGCATGTACCACCATACTCAACTTTCATTACAATATAATTTTGACATATGGAATAAATTTGAAAAATAATATATGCAGTTTTGATTTTTTTGTTTTACCTAACAAAGGATGGAATCTGAAATTGCACAACTATTCCATTGCCTAGAAATAGATCAGATGTCTGCTGTTTAGGGAGGGTCTAATCTTTGTTATTTATCGACAATTAGCAAAGTGAGCCTTGGGTTCAAATTTTGCCTTTTCATCTCCCTTACTGTCTTAGCAAGTGTCTTAAACCCTCTCTACCTCAATTGCCACACCTATTGTTTCAAGAGTTGTTGCCTATGACTAAATGAGATAGTTTTTTTTATTAAGACTTAAACTAATACCCACAAAGTCCATGGTTAGCATTTAATGTCAGTTCCTATTTTTTTGTCTTAAGCTAAGAGTATTGATGATGCCTAGCAAGCAGATTTTTGGAGGGCAGATTGTTGTTATAGATCATGGCAGATAAAGAGCCCTACCCCAGTTCATTGGCTGCACAGCATCTTGTCCAGTGATTGAAGAATACAATATGACCATTGGACGATTCCAGCCTGAAATGTATGTGCAGTCCTCTGTGCTTGTTGCCGAGACTTTGGTTCTCCCGAAGAGTACAGTCTGAAAGAATAAGAAATGTTTGCTTAAAAGTTGATTATGAGTGTTTTTAGTAGAAGAAATGAAAATATCTGCCAACCAAAGTGACCAGGAAAGTAGAGGGTGGAAAATTGCAGCTTTCAAAATATCTCAACATGTTCTTTCCCAGACATCCTAAAGGAAAGATGCAATTTTGAAGATAATGTTTCCCCTTTCCGATCATTTCAAACGACATTTTATTTGTAACCATTTATTTACATCTGCCATCAATGTCAATGCTTCTCCTTTAACAGGTACATTCAGAGCTTGATGGACTTGGTGGAGTTCCATGAGAAGAGCCCAGAAGACCAGAAAGCTCTATCAGAGTAAGCTTTCCTTGTGAGGATATGTATTTATAAACCTGAGTCCTTCTGGATACACATCACAGATCTTTTTAAAGACCTTTAGATTAAAGAGCTCCAACATTCACAGTAAATTGCTGCTCCTTACAAATTATGGCTCATTGGTGGTTTTAGATGTGAAGAAATATAGAAATGAAATTAGTGCTATGTGTGAACAGACATATAGAACTTGCAGTTTTTGCTTCTCAAGGAATTCCATTATTTACCTTAAATGTAGTTCAAAGATTGTATTTGCAAGAGAGTCTACTGTTACATAATTGTAGTGGACTTCTGGGTTATTGGTGATTACATACTTCCTATTTGTGTGACAATTTCTAATTACCTAAATACAAAGCTTCTTTAAAATATGACAAGAAACTTCAAGCGTTTTATTTTCCACAGTGGCACGGTAGAATTGTCTGTGGTTTTAATTATTTTCCAGCAAGTAGACTTAATGAGCATTTTTAATGACTGTACCAGCCAAACAGTGAGTGGTTTGACATGTAACCTAAAAACCCCAACCCTGTCATGAAACTGACTCTCCAACTATAGTAGAAGAATATGTAGTGAGCATCTGAATGAAGTTTCACCCAGAATTTTACAATTGGCTGTTCTTGGGTGGCTCCTGCTACAAAAAAGACCTTTAGCTGTCTCTGAAGAGACACGTGGAAAACTTCGTTAATGACTAATAAATGTTCTAACTCAGCTTTGTAGACACACTCATCAAAGTTCGAAACAGACATCACAATGTGGTCCCTACGATGGCTCAAGGAATCCTTGAGTTTAAAGACACCTGTACAGTTGACCCAGTTACCAATCAAAATCTTCAGTATTTCTTGGACCGGTTTTATATGAACCGCATTTCTACTCGGATGCTGATGAACCAGCATAGTAAGTGACTTTCTCAACATGTGGTCTGGAGATGGGGGTGCTGTATACAAGCCGTGATGAGGCTGGACCTACGACTGGGGACCCATAGCCTCTCTGGGCAGTTCTAATCCCCACCTTGTTTTTCATAACATGCTTTTGTTTTCATTTTTTTTAACAGTCCTTATTTTCAGTGACTCAAAGACAGGAAACCCAAGCCACATTGGGAGCATCGACCCAAGCTGTGATGTAGTAGCGGTGGTCCAAGGTAATTTCTAGACTTCTGTGTTTCTCTTATTGAAAATGTATAATACATGGCTGGCAAATATGTAATGTTGGAGATTCTTTAAATGAATCTGTGTTCACTGTGTTCTGCCCTTGCTTTATGGATTCTGCCTACAAGGTCCCTAGCTTTTGAGTGTCAGGAGTATAAACGCTCATTTATAGTATTATAAAAAATTTAAGCTTAAGTGGTCTATGTGCCGTATTCTTATATATTGTATTTGATCTCTGAAGTGCACATATTGCTATTGGTACAACTTCAATAAAAGATTGTTTTAATAAAATATTAAAAAGACATTTTTCATACACATAAACCAATTCCCCAGTGAAGAAGGTTTTAGATTAAGGGTAGTAAACACATTGAGTATCACTTGACAAGTGTACTTGGAATAAATTTATTTCATTGCTATGAAAAATTTCTGTTCCAGATGCCTTTGAGTGTGCAAAGATGCTCTGCGATCAGTATTATCTGACATCACCAGAATTAAAGCTCACACAAGTAAATGGTAAGCTAGCAGCAAGATACAAGTAAAGCTATGTAAAACTTAGCATTACTATTTTTTTGTAGATACAAGGCAGCCTTTGTGTTCTTTTTATTGTCCTGAGCTTGCTTAGAATTTGTACAAAGACGTTTCATTTTGTCTTTAAAGCCAAACTTCTCCCTAGTGCCTCGGTTGAAAAGCTTCAGTTGTGCCTATCACTTGCTAACAGCGATTCTTATGGAAGAATTTTTTGGACAAAGATATGCCTAGGCTCTCATATCTTAGGTCAGGGAAAGACTGCTTCCTATGAAATATGTAAGATAATCTCCAGGCTTGGTGCCTGCAGCTGCAGCCCTTGGGAAGTGGAAGAGAATTCAAGCCCTTCCCTACATTTCAAACTTCAGGGCAGCTGAACATATATGAGACTCTGTCCCAGAAAATGAAATAAAAAGTAGAATATGAAGAATAAGGATATCTGAAATATGGAAAAGAGTTGTCAATGGAACCATCCTTCTTAACAGGTTATTCACAGAGAACAAGAATATGTCCTAAACTGTCCTAAAATAAATAAGATAGACACCGAATGATAGATACTGCATGATTCCAGTCATGGGAGCTATAAATCCAAGTTAGTCATAATAACGCAAGTGGAGATTACAACAGTGCTTGTCAAAGACCCAGGGGGAAGAGATAAAGGGTTGCTTTTGAATAGGTATAAAATTTCAGTTGTGTAAGATGAATAGATTCAAGAGATCTGATGCACAACATAGTTAGCAGTATTGTACTATACCCACAAGAATTTTTCAAGTGCACTTGAACTTGTGATGAATGTTCTTACCACAGTTTTAAAACTGTACTGCAAAAACATGTTACTATTTGGACACAGAATATACTTCAAAATTTGAACTCTATGCTGTCTGGTGAGCTAGAGTAGTCACACATGGAAGCGATTACATGAACAATCCAAAGGCGTGATTTTTATATTATTCTCTTCTATTCCAGGAAAGAGTAGCTTCTCAGATCAAGGCATACTAAAACTGGAATGATTTTCCGCTTCCACTATATGTTTTTCCAAGTAATGTTTATACAGTAACATTTATTAGTGATGAGGCTAATAGTTTAGACTAACTCATAGACTGAGGACATTGAAATGTAGGTGAACACTAAGATAAAGGCAGAAGGGGTAATAATGACCAAGTAACTCAGAAGAAGAAGCATTGTTTTATACTTGCAGATAAACTGCTTGCACTGTTGGACAAAACAAAGACAGGATTGTGCCAGACCTTCCTGGTGTTTACTCATTCCAACTTTCTCCAGGCCTGGGACATCAAAGACTTTCTATTTTCCTTTTTGAACAGCATCATGAGGTTTTTGTTTCTGTTTTCCTACCCTGTTTGTTAAGTTTAAACACACGTAACCTCTAGGGTTTTATTACTTTTTGATGATTAAAAATCACATAATTTAATATGCGTTAAAACACAAAAAATATAGCTACCATTAATTTTAATGTTATAAGCATAGCGATTCCTTCTATCTTCAAAGGCATTTAGTTTTAACACTGAAATCGTATAGCTCAAACATGTTGAAAGTAGAACCGTCTGTGTAACTTGATTTACTCCACTACACTTCAGTTAACTACAACTACACTTGCAGAGAAATGCAAGCATTAATCTTGAATAGCAGGTAGCAGCTGAAACAGCGCTTTGCGTACAGTTATGAGTCACAATGTTCAAGTGCAGAAAATGGATCTTGTCTAAAACTAAAACATTAATTAAACATACATGGCGGTTCATTTCATCAAAATATTTGTTTCTCAATTCTAATGAGTTTAATTTTTTTTCTAGGAAAATTTCCAGGCCAACCAATTCATATCGTGTATGTTCCTTCCCACCTTCACCATATGCTCTTTGAATTATTCAAGGTATGATACTTCACAGCAATCATGGGTTTGTCTTTAAATAGTTCACTCCTATACATTTATCATCCCTCTACACACTCTTCTAAGAGTACTGTGGTGTAAAGGAGCTACATAGCCAGTGTTTGGGAGAGTGCACAGAGACACAGTAAACAATGTGCTTGAAAATATGCAATATGGCTCATGCTATCTTAGTACTGAAGAATGGAGAGGGAGTTCCCATCATTTCCTCTGATGTGCAAAAAAGCACTTCGTTAGAAGAGGTCATGGATGAGTACATTAGTGAATGAAGTCTTGCAACCTCCCAATCATAGACTATCCAGTTGCAACTCCAAGCCATAGGTCCCATAGGTGGGGTGACCACATTCTGAATCTAGAACAGCCAATCTAATATCATGACTATGAATCTTGTGTGGGCTGTGTTAAAATACAAAATCAGATTCAGGTCTGGAGTGGTGTCCAGGATTCTGAATTTCCAAGGATATGATGCTTATATAAAGTACATACTTTCTAAGCAGCCTGCAGGACCCTGAGTCTCAGACAGTGTGTGTCATAATCATTGACAGGACTTGATAATAGACAGGTGCATGGAAATATTTAGATTGCATAGGTCCAAGAATTTGCACTTCTGGTGTGCTGAAGACTTAAATGTCCCTAGTCTGGGTAACTAAACACAGGTGACAAATTCTTTTATGCATTCTAAGATAATACCATTGCTCTGAACTTAAACCAGAAAATAGGAATCGGTAGAAATTTGTGACATTCTCCAAGACGATTTTATAGATTGGCAGGAGGAGGAAACCTTTTTTAAAAAGTAAACTCTGCCTCTAAAACTGACATAAAGCCAAAATGTACTGTTTTCTAACTTAATCTAATGCTTTGCAATGAGATATAGATACTGGTTAAATTACAAACATCTCATCTATTTTTACTTCATTTCAATGAATATCTGGTATTATATAGATACCAAAAGACAATCAGACATGAAAGCAGTCTAATAAAGTAAGACTTTACCTACAGGGCATTTCCCCTGTAAGCTTGTTTTAGTTTATTCTGTGCTAAATAACATGTGATCCTTTTTCATTGATTTAGTTTATTTTTAATTGAGTGCTTTAACTCAAAGAATTATTCTGCCATCACTGATGAAAGTTAAGATGATATTCAAATGCAAATAGAAATTTAATTTAGAATTATTGACTGTCCTTCTAAATAGTAACAACCTTTTTTTCTAGCGAGTTTTATAAAAGCCAATAAATTGGTTCAACGATTCTCTGTTCATTCCTTATGTAATAGTCTTTGGTGTTTGGATATAAAATGTAATGGAAAGATAGAAAAATAGAGCACTAGGAAATGGACTATAAAAACCAATTTCTACATTTAAATTAAGCTTACAAATAAGAACTTGACAGCTAGCAGAATTGTTTTTCCATTAGACATTACTCCCAGAAGCTGTATTACATGGTAAATGAAGATTTTTCATTATACATTCTACATGACACATTCATAAATGGCTATATTTACAGAGATGTTTTATCACTCACTTAAGAAATAGGAACTTTGAATTACCCTCTGCTGCTTTTACTTTAAACATAAAACCAGTTATTCATTGTCTCTCATTCTTCCCTATTGAATTCCTTATGGTTTTGTTGTCTTTAGAATGCCATGAGGGCCACAGTTGAGCACCAAGAAAATCGCCCTTCCCTGACACCAGTTGAGGCAACTGTTGTCTTGGGAAAAGAGGACCTTACAATCAAGGTAACCACTCCCTGCTTTTGGTTTTGCTTTTCTGGAGGAAACTAAAGGGGCCTATAATAACATGGCTTCCCATTTGGGACAACTCTCAAAGCCACGCGCGCCAGATGACTTTTAGGAAAGGGAGAGCCTTTCCTGTAGACAGGTTCCCACTGTTGTTGAAGTATAGCTCTTACCTATTTGTCTGCCTGTTTCAGATATCTGACCGAGGAGGTGGTGTTCCTCTGAGGATCACTGACCGCCTCTTTAGTTACACATACTCCACTGCTCCAACGCCTGTGATGGACAATTCACGGAATGCCCCTTTGGTAAGGCCAGTGATAAAGCTGAAGTCATCTCAGCCACCTAATTCTAAGTGTGGGGTGAGAAGTATAAGAAAGTATTTAGGCAAGTTAATCTATTTAGTTAAATTGGCATGTGGGGAGATGGGAAATATGACAAAGCTAGCTAACTTTATAGTGACGATCCTAAGGACCTCTGATTGGGAGAAAGTATTTAGATAATAGCTCCTTTCCACATTTGGTCATGTCTACATTTCAATTGACACTTGATCTTCCCTCATCCAGGCTGGTTTTGGTTATGGCTTGCCAATTTCTCGTCTCTATGCCAAGTATTTTCAAGGAGACCTGAATCTCTACTCTATGTCAGGCTATGGGACAGACGCCATCATCTACTTAAAGGTATGTTTTGAACTCAGTAGAAACCACCATTTTAAAGCCTTGGCTTCATTTACTTCTCTGAGTTCTACAGTCCTCCATGAACTATTTAAACTGAGTTAATCTAAGCAATAGCCAGTTATGAAAGTTTCTGTTTTTGGTATGTGCCCACTCAACATGCAAGACATCCAAGAGAAATCTCAGCCATGCTATGGGCCTCAAGTGTTGATCCCGACATAGATGAAGCCTCAGAGTGACAGCATACCAACAGGAACCTTTTTCAAACAACTTCTCTTGACATTTTTGAGGGTAGCTAGAGTTCTGTTTTTACTCAGCCTTGTGGGTAATACATGCTAATGATGTTTCAGAATAAAACAGTAAAAATCAACACCTCTGTAACCTTAAGCTGACCCTACTTAAAACCCAGGGAAAAGATTGCTGATGGGCTGCCAGTGGAGTGCCAGGCATTTCCTGCTTGAATTTTAGAACTGGGTACGTGTTCTGTCCTGGACACAGCCTAAATTTGTTTGCTAAGATCACCATCTCAATTCTGTTTGTCATTTGCCAACTATTTCAACTGAAAACTTATTGACAGATGGTAAGAACTGCAACATCAAGTTTCTAGGCTTCCATTTTGTTCACTGGAATTAAATGCTGAAGTTCCCTTGGACTTCCTGACATATTTACTGTGTTTATTCATTTACGAAATTGGCAAAGGTGTTAAAACTGTGGGAAAGAACCCCTTAATAGATGAATAGTATCTCTTAGGTCTCTATCAGAGGTACATAGGTTTCTCACTGGAAAGAATTGCTTTCTTCAACCACATTACATCAGAGGAACTCAGAAGTCCAGTGGAAATATTGAACACAAAATCTGTGCCCAAATTTACAGTCCCACATCCCCTTAAGCTTTCACTGAATAAAGATGATAGTTTTTTAGTCTTTTTTTTTGTAAAATACCTAGAACATCATGAGTTTGTTATTTTTAGTACAAAGCCAATTAAATGCCGTAGCAGGATATTAAGTCATACCTCTGAATGAATTTTGAATAATGACATACAGCCATGAATAATTTCTTTAACATTTTCTCTCCTCTCCTCTTAGGCTTTGTCTTCTGAGTCTGTAGAAAAGCTCCCTGTCTTTAACAAGTCAGCCTTCAAACACTATCAGATGAGCCCGGAAGCTGGTGACTGGTGTATCCCAAAGAGGGAACCAAAAAATCTGGCAAAGGAAACGGTGGCAATGTGAAGGGGAACATGTAGGACACTTTATGGGATCAAAGTGGGTCTATGGCAGTGCTGCATAATGAATGTGTGTGGACTCCCGTTTCTGCAAAACAAAACAAAACAACCAACCAAGCAAAAAACAAATGCTAGGACAGACATTGATCCAATGAGGGAATGGAGCTTGGTTGTGTGACCTGGGAGAAGTCAAGGCCTGACTCCAGTATACCACAGGTGACCTGCTCCTCATTTGGCAATGCAGCACGACTCAAGATTATTGCAAATACTGAAAAGAAGTCGGCCTCTAAGTTACATCTTGTTCTCTACAAGTACAGGATTTGAGGTTTGCAGTCTCAACAAGTGGATGCTTTAGAATTCTTGTTGCCATCCAAATATACTGGTGTTCATTGAACATCAATTATTGAGACATGGGTGTTTTTCTGCCATGGAAAGATAGGTGTGTTACTAGAAATGTATGTACATGTGCATTTTGTGATGTTAATATACTCTAGATAGGAGAGGATGAAAGATGCCAAAGCACTTTATTTAAGCTTGCAGCCTGGGCAGTGCTACCTATTTTCAAAGCCTCTGTGGCAAGACAACTCCAGTATCACGCAGCCTTTCTTATTTGGGCTACACTCCATTAGCCAGTGATTTTTGGCCTGTGCCTACCCTTGGGTGAATTGTTAAATATGCACTGAATTCAGGAAGTTGGGTTGGAAAGGGAGATAAATTGCCAAAGGGATCCATAGATGGTATGTGGAAAAACCCACATTAGAGAAAGAAGTCATATTTTATGAACTTAACTGGGAAGGACTGGGGAGTTCTCTAGCTGGAAATGGTGAAGAATCAAAGAGCACCTGCTTTCCAGGCTTAAAAACATGTGCATTTTATATTTTAATTATATTCTCTACACTCCAACATTAGCATGTCCATTCAAAATTTTCTAGTTGCCATTTGGCATGAGAGGGTTAAAATTTATCCTTCTTGGGGTTTTGTTTTTTCATTTTGGGATTTGTTGTTGTTTGGTTTTTGTTTTTGTTTTCTTGTTTCTTAATGAAGTAGTCTGGAAGTAAGTGCTCACGCTAGGATGATGTCATTTGTGAATCATGGAGACATTGAGAACCAACGACTAAAGGCTGTGATGTGCATGGTTCTCGGAGGATGAAGGTGTGATTGGTAGGATCATCATCCATGCAGATCATCCTTAGAAAAGAAAGAAAAAGCAATGAACAAGGGAATGGATGGAGAGAGGAAAGGAAGGAAGCAGAGGCAGGCATCTTCCTATCATCCCTACAAGCCCCTCAGAAGCATCCTCTGTTCTGCCTGGGTAGAGGGGAGGATGAATTGGTATCTTTGAAAGCAGTATGGCTTCTTAGATGGATTTCACTCTGACAAGACAAAGGTGTTGGTGAAATAATGAATTCATTTGTGTCAAAATAACATTGGAACTTTTTTCTGGATTGTAAACCTGTCAGTCCTGTGTGTGTGACAGGGAGTTTGAAATCTGTATGTAATTTTATGCTGACCTAGTGCTGAGGACTATCTGGCTGTGGCAGCAGAAGCCACAACTATTTAGATTTCAGATTGTATCTTTAGAAGCCCCGGTCAGTGACTTGGATGGTAAGATTTTGATTCCTGCATTGACTGATCACACAAAACTGTTAGCATTTAGCTTACCTGTTGTGTTGTCGTTGTTTTTCTAATTGAAATTTCAGCTGTATGTTTGTACATATAAATACTTGTGTTTACCAAAGATCCAAGGCATTTGGTTAAATAACCCAAACACTCTGAGCTGTGTTTAAAATAGCAAAGAAAATCTTTAGGATCTCAACCGTTTCAACTGTGTGAATTAAACTGAAACAGTCTTCCTGTTATTTATGAACCCATGGGAGACTTTAGACTCTAGTGGATGGATATGAATACCCAGGCCCACTTAACTTATTAATGTGTGGATTACATTTTTGTCTTTAGGTTATGTGCAGAAAATGTGATAATTTTATAATAAATATTTTTATTATAATAGTGATATGGTCTTACAAAATTCTTTTCTTGCATAATCTCAAAGTATAATGACTGATTTCAATTAAATGGATTCCTCACTTTATATTCAGATATAAATCATTTGGCATAGACTTGAAAAGTATTAAAATCAAATTTAAATTCCTAATTTTAAAACAAAAGTGTTTTATAGTAGTTCAGAAAATATGGTTGTCTTTTTCTTTTTTGTGTATGCTCAATGAGCATAGAGTACTAAGACTCATTTAGCTACAAGAATTTATCTGTAACCATTTATAAATAGGTATCAATAACAATTTTGGAAATGTATATGTTTCCTACAATTCTTGTGTTCCTTTTTCTAATTTTATTTAGTGTGATATTTGCAGACACACTGTAAAATATCAAAATAATAACCTAGATAATTTAAACTACCAAATAATTTTGGGTTAAGAATCTATATGATAATAACTTAGAAATAAGATAAAAATGACTAAATTAGGGCCGTAGAGGTAACTTCCACCAGGACCAAGACCTGAGTTCAGTCTCTATAATCCACATAATAGAAGGAGAGAACAGAATGCCTCAAGTTGCCTTCCAAACTTCACACGAACACTATGACGTGTGCATATGTAACAAAACATATAAACACATAAAAACATGTGCATTGCCTACACATAAAATAAACAAAAAAGCAATAATAAGGAAAAGGAATTACTAACTAAATCATGGCTGATGTATCTTTGCTGTTTGGGGCCTTCTTTTACTAATTCAATCCTTCTATGCCTTTAGACAAGCAACTTTCCTTCCAGCATAATATTTTACATGGTGTACTAGTTATTTTTCTATTGCTATGATCAATGATCAAGGAAATATAGATGGAAGGGTTTATTTGGAGTTTACAGTTGCAGAGGGGTAGGATTCTATCACCATGATGGCAGGCAGCATGGCAGAAGGCAGACATTCCTGGTTCTGGAGCAGTAGTTGAGAGCTCCTATTCCAACCCACAAACAGGAAGCAGAGAGTTCATAGGGAATGATGGTAGTCTTTTGAAATCCATCCCCGTGATATGTATCCTCCAACATGGTCTTGCTTCCTAATCCTTCCCAAACAGTTCCTCCAGCTGTAGACCAAGTACTTCAACACAAACACCTACATGGGGCTCTTCTCATTCAAGCTGCCACGCTCTACTCCCTGAATTTTGGCCATATCATAATGTAAAACAAATTTGGTTCAACTTCAAAAGTTGCCATAGTGTTTCACAAACTCAGCACAGTGTCAAAGTCCAAAGTCTCTTCTGAGACTCAAAACAATCTCTCAATTGCAACTCCTTTTAAAGTCAAAATCACATATTTCCAACATACATTGGCACTGAATATACATTACAGATCCAAAGGAGAGGAATGACAAGATAGTCAGGAAATACTAGACCAAAGCAAGATAGAAACCCAACTCAAATTCCAAATCCTGTAGCTCCATGTCCAAAGTCAAAGGGCCTAAATGACTTTACCCTTCTGGTTTTGCTGATTCCAGCACACCTCTCTCCCTTGGGCTGGTTCCACATTCTATCTGAAGCTCTCCTTGACAGAAGTCTCATGACTGTCATGTCCAACATCTTGAAGTCTCCAACAAAATCCAGGCTTCACTTTCACAGCTCCATAAAATGGCTTCCCAGGGCCTCCATACAGAGACTCTCCTGCTATACACCTGATCTCAGATGCTCCTTAACTGTTGAGGAGGAGGCTGCAACCTCTTTGTTCATCTATCTTTCATCACTCTCCAGGCAGAACCACATGAACTACTCCATCAAGTTTGGCTACCTCTTGAACCACACTTTCAACAGTCTTTGTTATTCTTTAGAAGCATAAATTCCTTAGGCCTTTTCCTTTCCTAATGTATAAGCTCAGGTGGGCGAGGTCTTGCCCTGAAGGTTAACCCCTCTTCAATTCCAGTGGGAAATGGGCCTCTTCTAAATCCATCTGTTTCAGGAGAAGCCTTAGAAACAATAAGACATTTTCTGAAGCCTTTCTCTCTTCTAACCATAAACTTTGTATTGCTTTGTGCCTTACTTGCCTTTTTCATTGTACGCCTCCATAAGGGTAATTACCAATAACCTCAGAGCACAGTCAGTCCACTAAAGCAATTTAGTCCGTTATTTTTTTTACGTCATAGGATAAAAGCAGGTATCGGTCACATTCTTTGCCAAAATGCCGCAAGAACAGGTTTCTAGTCCAGTTGCTAAAATTGTTCCCCTCTGAAACCTTTTGAGCTAGACCTCAACAGTTCACATTGCTCTGAGCACTTAACATTTTCCAAGTTCCTAGTAGGATGGTTCATTAAGCTTTGTTTATAATGTTCAACTGCTTCTCTGTTCTATACTCCCCAAATCTATATTCTTCCAAGAACCAGCATGGTCAGGTTTGTCACAGCAATAGCCCACTTTCTAGTACCAAATTCTGTATTTTTAATTGCTATGATAAAGCCCCATCGCCAAGGCAATTTATAGATGGGAGGGTTTATTTAGGGCTTTAATTTCCAGAGGGGTAGGAGTCTTTTACTATCGGGGAACATGGCAGGAGGCAGGCATTTGTGACTCTAGAGAAGCAGCTGGGAGCTCACATTCCAACCCACAAACAGAAAGCAGAGAGTACTCTGGAGATTTAGAGAGGCCTTAGCTGCTTCAGATCTCACCACTGTGACACAACTCCTCCAACAAGACCACACCTCCTAGTCCTTCCCAAAGAATTTGATCCCCAAGTAGTCAGACATATGAACCTATGGGTGTCATTCTCATCGAAACCACCATACATGGCAAGTTGCTGCAAGTGGGAATAGAAAAGAAAAAAGATAAAATTAGAGTAATGAGATTAGTGAAATGGGTTACCCATAACTATATTTTGAAACATGATAAAACTAATTATATTTAAAACAAAAATACCACCAACTTAAAAAACCTGCACAGTGCCTTTGTACTACCTCTATCCTGAATGCATTTTCCTTCTGTCTAGTGGAAGGACCCAGTACTTTCTAAAAGACATATTCTCTCTCTTTCTCTCTCTCTCTCTCTCTCTCTCTCTCTCTCTCTCTCTCTCTCTCTCTCTCATACACACACACACACACACACACACACACACAGAAGTGGGAGAGGTGTGTAACTGTACTATTTCCTTCGACCAAGCTGCGTGAGCTTGACAGAAAGAGAACACAATATAAACTCTCCAAACCTTCACCCATGTGTCGTTGTGTGTGTGAGAAGATATGTGTGGGTATGGAGGCCAGAGCTCGGTGTTGCACCTCGGGAGCTAGTCACCTCCCAGTTTTTGAGACAGTGCTATGGTTACAGGTATAAACCATCATGCCTAGCTTTTTACATGGGTTTAGTCAGATGGAACTCAGATCCTATGCTTGCACAAGAAACTCTTTATCCTTGTGTTTTCTTTATCATTGTGTATCTCCCAATTCCAAAATGTCATTTTTACTCAAGTCATTGTGTGTATCCCTATAGGATTCTATTTTCCTGGAACAACAAAGTAGTCAGATATTTGTGCAGACTATCTCTAGACCATTTCACCCACACTTCAAACTTGACTATAAATAGTAAGATCATTTGATCTCAGCTACTGCAACTCACCTAAACTGAGAGATTGTTGGAGCCAAAAGCAGGTCATGAACTTTGACAATTCCTTTGATCTTCTGCTGCACTTTGAAGGGTTCCATTTCACTTGAATATAGACCCACACTGAAAAATAGGTGGCATCATCGAACACTTTGATCTGGCCTGTAGGTGGAAGAGGGGAGGGGCTTGAAGTCTTCTACCAGAACCTGTGTAAGAAGTCAAGGAATTTCCAGGGCAACACTTAAAAGTGATACACTCTGACCTCCATTACCCTTTTAGCCTTGTTGCTCTCCTTAATTTACAGTTAGATTGTATCACTTACAGAGCATAACTGAGGCACTCAATGAATATTCACCCAATAAATAAGCACATTCTTCAACTTCTGGTCCTGGGACAGATTTTTGCCATTAGAACAGATTGGACTTCTGCATCAAATAACTGCACATACCTTGTAAAAGATTTATACAAATCACGATGTATTTCACAGGAAGCTAAACAGAAGTTATATGTAATCATTTCTGAGGCAGTTTCTTGAGTGCGTGATCTAGTTTTTTAGATGTGAGTATTCTTCCTTTCTCACTTGCACGCTAATGGAACCTATTATTGCCCATGTATCATTGATTTCTGTTGGAAGTGAGAATTTCTAATTCTTTCCCAAATGTAAACTAACGTTAAAATCCACTCAAAACAGAAATATCAGCAGCCCTGATAATGTGTAAATCTATTAAATGATGTGAAAATGACATGAGCCCACGTAAGGACAAATCCAATAATGAAACAATAGATCTCATCAACAAAGTCTAAGATGCTATTTTCATTTTGCTGTTACCATTTAATATAGTGGTGGTAACACAGGGGTGATATCAAATAATGTGGCAGAGCTAGGAATTATTTATTAGCATATTGCCTTTCATAAATGTAAATGAGTGCTTTAATATCTGAGCTTGTTTGCTGAATGCAATTTCAGAGGTTTCATCTGTTTCACAAAACTATGCCTTTTGGGCTAGTTTCTGGCCCCCAAATATACTTTGACATTTGGTAGAATTGCACCTCACTGAGTCCTTTCCCTTTATGTATGTTTCCAAGCATAATAACTCTGTTTTGGATTAAAATTTAAAGACTGGACTTTAAATTAAAAAGTTCTGGAATCTATATTTCTTATTAATTACTTACAGAATAACTCTCCTACATTCTCTCAAAACTTGCAGGCTAGTTCCCTTAAACCAGCTTTCTCATAATATCACCTCAAGTACAAAAATCCTTTAGTAATTCCCCAGTGTCCAACAGGGTTTGTTGTTCTCTACAACCCAGCCTAACCGATCAGTCTTTCAATTTCTATCTGTTCCATATTCTGTCTTCTGAACACTAAGCACATGCATTTCTCTCAGCCTGGAGCCCCTTCCTCTCTTCTCTTT